GTGCGTTTCAACGACAAATGGGCAGCACCGTCGAGTAGAGATTTGTGTGGCTCGGTCTGTGCACCCACGTCGGACGAGGAGACTGGTACTGTGTCGATTTGTTGGTCGACAGTGGAACGTTTCACGAACTGTGTGGCTTCCACTAGCGATGTTTTGCGAACAGGTTCAGGTGTCGGTAACTCTAATGAGGCGGTCTCGGTGATGAGAGGAGCTTTGACTTGAACGGTGGGTTTCCAGACAATCTCATGCTGACTGGATTCCACGACGTGTGTGGTGACGGAGGTCGCCTGTGTGGCAGTCTCAGTCAGATGGCGAGGTGGTGGCTGTTGAACAGGCGACTCTGCGTAGGAGGCACTCACTGACATCATATGATCAGGTTTCACTGTCTTCAACTCTCTGTGATCCTCACTGGTCACAACTGGTCGTTCGGTTTGAGTCACCTGTACTTCTCGTTCTGCTACTCCCACTGCTTCCGTCACTGTGTGGCTGCTGGTCTGTTGCACCTGGTAGCCGGAGCTCATGACACGCGTGGCCACACGCATTCCGAACTGCATTCCAACGTCATGAGTGACTGGCTTCTCGACCTTCATGGCCATGGATAGTGTTGACTCGACGTAGGGTGCTGGTGTCACATGTTTCACTAGTTCACTGGTTGTCTGACACAGACTTGAGAACTTGCTGGTCTGCATAGCGACATTCGACGTTTTCACAGTCACAGGAACCGGTTCGATCTTAGGCTGAACGGTTTGACAAGCCATCTCTTCGGTATTCACGTACCGATGTCCACAGCTGGTACACAGACTCCTCTCGACCACTTCCCGTTCTAACTTGTGTGTGGTCAGACTGACAACCGGTGTGCTCACCCTATCCACTTGCACTTCAGCATTCACATTCGGTCTCTTCACGAAAGCTGCAGTCGAATCAAGCACACTTTCGGGCGACTTCACTGACACACTGGTCGCACTATCCACAACACACACACTTTCCTTCACCGTCTGCACACAGGCTTCCAATGTTTGGATGGGTTTCGGTGGCTGCTGGACTGGAACAACTGGTGTCTCTGGTTTCACTGGTGCATGCATCTCACTCCAAGAATCCACCATGCACAATTGGACAGGTTTGGCTTGTGACGTCGCATCGGTGCGTTTCAACGACAAATGGGCAGCACCGTCGAGTAGAGATTTGTGTGGCTCGGTCTGTGCACCCACGTCGGACGAGGAGACTGGTACTGTGTCGATTTGTTGGTCGACAGTGGAACGTTTCACGAACTGTGTGGCTTCCACTAGCGATGTTTTGCGAACAGGTTCAGGTGTCGGTAACTCTAATGAGGCGGTCTCGGTGATGAGAGGAGCTTTGACTTGAACGGTGGGTTTCCAGACAATCTCATGCTGACTGGATTCCACGACGTGTGTGGTGACGGAGGTCGCCTGTGTGGCAGTCTCAGTCAGATGGCGAGGTGGTGGCTGTTGAACAGGCGACTCTGCGTAGGAGGCACTCACTGACATCATATGATCAGGTTTCACTGTCTTCAACTCTCTGTGATCCTCACTGGTCACAACTGGTCGTTCGGTTTGAGTCACCTGTACTTCTCGTTCTGCTACTCCCATTGCTTCCGTCACTGTGTGGCTGCTGGTCTGTTGCACCTGGTAGCCGGAGCTCATGACACGCGTGGCCACACGCATTCCGAACTGCATTCCAACGTCATGAGTGACTGGCTTCTCGACCTTCATGGCCATGGATAGTGTTGACTCGACGTAGGGTGCTGGTGTCACATGTTTCACTAGTTCACTGGTTGTCTGACACAGACTTGAGAACTTGCTGGTCTGCATAGCGACATTCGACGTTTTCACAGTCACAGGAACCGGTTCGATCTTAGGCTGAACGGTTTGACAAGCCATCTCTTCGGTATTCACGTACCGATGTCCACAGCTGGTACACAGACTCCTCTCGACCACTTCCCGTTCTAACTTGTGTGTGGTCAGACTAACAACCGGTGTGCTCACCCTATCCACTTGCACTTCAGCATTCACATTCGGTCTCTTCACGAAAGCTGCAGTCGAATCAAGCACACTTTCGGGCGACTTCACTGACACACTGGTCGCACTATCCACAACACACACACTTTCCTTCACCGTCTGCACACAGGCTTCCAATGTTTGGATGGGTTTCGGTGGCTGCTGGACTGGAACAACTGGTGTCTCTGGTTTCACTGGTGCATGCATCTCACTCCAAGAATCCACCATGCACAATTGGACAGGTTTGGCTTGTGACGTCGCATCGGTGCGTTTCAACGACAAATGGGCAGCACCGTCGAGTAGAGATTTGTGTGGCTCGGTCTGTGCACCCACGTCGGACGAGGAGACTGGTACTGTGTCGATTTGTTGGTCGACAGTGGAACGTTTCACGAACTGTGTGGCTTCCACTAGCGATGTTTTGCGAACAGGTTCAGGTGTCGGTAACTCTAATGAGGCGGTCTCGGTGATGAGAGGAGCTTTGACTTGAACGGTGGGTTTCCAGACAATCTCATGCTGACTGGATTCCACGACGTGTGTGGTGACGGAGGTCGCCTGTGTGGCAGTCTCAGTCAGATGGCGAGGTGGTGGCTGTTGGACAGGCGACTCTGCGTAGGAGGCACTCACTGACATCATATGATCAGGTTTCACTGTCTTCAACTCTCTGTGATCCTCACTGGTCACAACTGGTCGTTCGGTTTGAGTCACCTGTACTTCTCGTTCTGCTACTCCCACTGCTTCCGTCACTGTGTGGCTGCTGGTCTGTTGCACCTGGTAGCCGGAGCTCATGACACGCGTGGCCACACGCATTCCGAACTGCATTCCAACGTCATGAGTGACTGGCTTCTCGACCTTCATGGCCATGGATAGTGTTGACTCGACGTAGGGTGCTGGTGTCACATGTTTCACTAGTTCACTGGTTGTCTGACACAGACTTGAGAACTTGCTGGTCTGCATAGCGACATTCGACGTTTTCACAGTCACAGGAACCGGTTCGATCTTAGGCTGAACGGTTTGACAAGCCATCTCTTCGGTATTCACGTACCGATGTCCACAGCTGGTACACAGACTCCTCTCGACCACTTCCCGTTCTAACTTGTGTGTGGTCAGACTGACAACCGGTGTGCTCACCCTATCCACTTGCACTTCAGCATTCACATTCGGTCTCTTCACGAAAGCTGCAGTCGAATCAAGCACACTTTCGGGCGACTTCACTGACACACTGGTCGCACTATCCACAACACACACACTTTCCTTCACCGTCTGCACACAGGCTTCCAATGTTTGGATGGGTTTCGGTGGCTGCTGGACTGGAACAACTGGTGTCTCTGGTTTCACTGGTGCATGCATCTCACTCCAAGAATCCACCATGCACAATTGGACAGGTTTGGCTTGTGACGTCGCATCGGTGCGTTTCAACGACAAATGGGCAGCACCGTCGAGTAGAGATTTGTGTGGCTCGGTCTGTGCACCCACGTCGGACGAGGAGACTGGTACTGTGTCGATTTGTTGGTCGACAGTGGAACGTTTCACGAACTGTGTGGCTTCCACTAGCGATGTTTTGCGAACAGGTTCAGGTGTCGGTAACTCTAATGAGGCGGTCTCGGTGATGAGAGGAGCTTTGACTTGAACGGTGGGTTTCCAGACAATCTCATGCTGACTGGATTCCACGACGTGTGTGGTGACGGAGGTCGCCTGTGTGGCAGTCTCAGTCAGATGGCGAGGTGGTGGCTGTTGAACAGGCGACTCTGCGTAGGAGGCACTCACTGACATCATATGATCAGGTTTCACTGTCTTCAACTCTCTGTGATCCTCACTGGTCACAACTGGTCGTTCGGTTTGAGTCACCTGTACTTCTCGTTCTGCTACTCCCACTGCTTCCGTCACTGTGTGGCTGCTGGTCTGTTGCACCTGGTAGCCGGAGCTCATGACACGCGTGGCCACACGCATTCCGAACTGCATTCCAACGTCATGAGTGACTGGCTTCTCGACCTTCATGGCCATGGATAGTGTTGACTCGACGTAGGGTGCTGGTGTCACATGTTTCACTAGTTCACTGGTTGTCTGACACAGACTTGAGAACTTGCTGGTCTGCATAGCGACATTCGACGTTTTCACAGTCACAGGAACCGGTTCGATCTTAGGCTGAACGGTTTGACAAGCCATCTCTTCGGTATTCACGTACCGATGTCCACAGCTGGTACACAGACTCCTCTCGACCACTTCCCGTTCTAACTTGTGTGTGGTCAGACTGACAACCGGTGTGCTCACCCTATCCACTTGCACTTCAGCATTCACATTCGGTCTCTTCACGAAAGCTGCAGTCGAATCAAGCACACTTTCGGGCGACTTCACTGACACACTGGTCGCACTATCCACAACACACACACTTTCCTTCACCGTCTGCACACAGGCTTCCAATGTTTGGATGGGTTTCGGTGGCTGCTGGACTGGAACAACTGGTGTCTCTGGTTTCACTGGTGCATGCATCTCACTCCAAGAATCCACCATGCACAATTGGACAGGTTTGGCTTGTGACGTCGCATCGGTGCGTTTCAACGACAAATGGGCAGCACCGTCGAGTAGAGATTTGTGTGGCTCGGTCTGTGCACCCACGTCGGACGAGGAGACTGGTACTGTGTCGATTTGTTGGTCGACAGTGGAACGTTTCACGAACTGTGTGGCTTCCACTAGCGATGTTTTGCGAACAGGTTCAGGTGTCGGTAACTCTAATGAGGCGGTCTCGGTGATGAGAGGAGCTTTGACTTGAACGGTGGGTTTCCAGACAATCTCATGCTGACTGGATTCCACGACGTGTGTGGTGACGGAGGTCGCCTGTGTGGCAGTCTCAGTCAGATGGCGAGGTGGTGGCTGTTGAACAGGCGACTCTGCGTAGGAGGCACTCACTGACATCATATGATCAGGTTTCACTGTCTTCAACTCTCTGTGATCCTCACTGGTCACAACTGGTCGTTCGGTTTGAGTCACCTGTACTTCTCGTTCTGCTACTCCCACTGCTTCCGTCACTGTGTGGCTGCTTGTCTGTTGCACATTTTTATGTTGTGAGCTTAGTGTTTGCTTCTTTTTTTCGTCGTTTTGCGTGTAGTGTTGATAATTCTCAACATATCGTCCTATTTGTTTGGAGGGTCTTTCTTCAAATTTAACACTGCTTTGTATTTGGCTTGTGTCTACAAATGCGATGGTTTTAGTTACTAATTCTGATTCGATAATTCGTCCAAACATTGCCCTATTTTCTTTGTTACTTTTTTGGATGTCGTATATATCTGTCATCGTTGTTTTAGGTGTACCTTCTTTGAGGTAATGTTCCTGTTTGTCAAAAAGTTTTATTTGTTTCTGATACTGACATCCAAAGTCACCTGTCAGTCGTGTACTTTCTTCAGTTTTTTCTTGTAGTTTACGATCATCAAATGTAGTTTCGTATATTTTTACAGGGCTTTTCAGTGTTTCATAAGTTTGACAAGCTTTATTGCCCTTATCTTTACATTTCAACTTTTCTGCTTCTTGGTGGATTAGCTTGTTGAATTGAGCTTCTGTTATCTCTTTTACATGTGTGTACTGCCCAACTGCGTAGATGAAATCTGTTTGTGTTTGAACATTTTCTCTATGTTTGTTAAATTGACGTTGTTGTTTTTGTAATTCTGTTATTGATTGTGAAGTTGTGGTTATAAAATCTGTGGTACAGCATTCAACGCTTCTGAAGATTGGATGTGCTTCTACACCTATATCTGTAATTTGAACTTTGCTGGGTCTTGTTTGAATTATTCTAGCTGACTCTTCAATTTTAGTCAGACTCTTTGCTTCCTCAACATGCTGCTTTTCTATCCACGTTCTCCGTGTAAATCTTGTTTTTTTCAAAGGATCTTCTGATTGTGTAGATTTTGAAATTGTTGACGGCTTCAAATTTTCTTGATCAATAGAATCAAGTATATTAGTTTCTTCAGTTGGCGCTACTTCTATATAGACAACTGAATAACGTCCACCGTCTTTGGTATCGATGTATTTTCTGCTCTTGTATGTTATTGGCTTACTTTTTGCGTCTATTGGTCGTTCAAGTGTTAACAACATTTGTTTGTCATATGTAGTTACAAAATTTTTGTTTTCATTCAAGAAATCGTCATCAGATCTTGTATGAAAATCTTGTTTTGAATGGTATTTTTGATAATCCTCAACTTCATCATCCGTCGTACAAGAACTACCTGTACCAATACTTTGAATTTCTTCACTAGTAGTACAACTACATACCATTTCTTCATCATATGTGAATATAGCTGGAAGTATAAACGTTTTATGTGGAAATTTCAGACTACTTGTAAAAAGTGGTTGTTTAATTTGTTTCGAATGAACGATGTATGATGTTTCCGTTTCATCAACCGATTCATAAGTACTTTCTGAATTTATATACTCTGAACCTGAACTGGATAGCCATTCATCATCAGAACTTGATGATAACGAATAAATATTAAATTGATTTTTATCTTTTGTTTGCTTATTCCATATTCTTAATTGATTTAGTAAACTATCTAATTTTTTCTTATCCTTCTGAGCTAAATCACTGATAAAATAAGGAAAAAAAGAGAATAATAAAAAGGTAAAACGATTAACTACATTGTTAAATAACCTGATATATGCTAATTATTGTCAAATCCAAGTAGCCAAGTAGCACGAAACCCGGGACCAGGGTTTCATGTTGACCATCTTCAACCACCATCTCAACATAGTGCACGCAGTGTCGAGCCACCTAGACTAGTGGCCACATTGCAACTTGATCGATAGCATTCGATCAGCACTAAGAAGGACTTGACACGCATGACATTGATCACCACCCAGTGATCAATCAATAGTGATTACATCTCAGTCCAACAAGAGGTCGGTCGCTGCCCAAATAGCTCAGTGGTAACGTCTCTGACTATGAAGCTGAGTGGCACGGGATTGAATCCGTCAGGGAGCACCAGTCCCCTCAAGATTACAGGTATACCTTGATGACGAGTGTCAAGTAACACGAAACCCGGGTCCAAGGTTTCCTGTTGACCACCTCCAACCACCATCTTACTCTCAAATCCAATTAGTGTGACCTATTTCAGCATTGAATTAATGTCATTTATTTGTTTTATTAATATCATTTATTGATTTAACTTAAGAATCAAAACAAATTTATTTCAATAATTAATACTTAAAAATCTGACTTTAATTATGATGCTTACTTGACAAGTGTCACAGTTTCCATCATATGAAAACTTTGCTCTTGAAGATCAGTGAGTTTTTGTGATAAATCGAGTGGTATGATATTTTCTTGTTCATATTGCTTTATAGTTCTCATATGGGCCTTTCAAATAAAAAAATAGGCCAAAAAATATGATTACTTATAGATAATTATGCAAAGTTATTTATTCCAAACAACATGAAGTATCAATCTTGGTTATATGTAAAACATACTTTGAACAACTTTAAATGCTAAACTCATTTCAGTAGGCCAAAAATACAATAATAATGTGCCAATAACACCACTGAATCGTATTGATAATGTTTGGACGACAGTTAGTAGATTTAGTAAATCAAGATTTCGGAGCTCTGTAATTGTCATTTAGTTTTTTTGGCAGTTTACAGATATTAAAGATTCCCATTATGAAACTTAGAACAACACATGTTAGCGAACAATTGTTTTCAATTAGATCGTCATGATGAATGTTTATACGAAAATGTTAGATTAATCAAGGCTATTTGAGTCAATAATCACAATGAAATAGAATACGTCACCAAGTGTAATAGTTAAAAGTACAAGTTGATAATGGGATTACAGGTGTACTGATAGTAGTAAGAATATTAAATTACAAGACTAATATTTGAGAAGGAGCTTACTAGTTCTTTGAAGAAGCTCAGAGACAACCAGACGAAATAGTCTGGTTTATATGAAATGATTAAACCAGTAGGAACCTATCTGCCAAGACTGTATGGATTACCAAAGGTACACAAACCGGGGATCCCATTAAGACCTATTTTAGATATGTATAACTCTCCTTATCATACTATAGCTAAATGGTTGGTAACTTTATTGAAACCTCTCCACGAAAAGCTGGTAAAACATAGTGTTAAGGATGTATTTCAATTTGTTGATAAAGTAAAAAATGTCAATACTTTGGGACTAAAGATGATGTCTTTGGATGTAACATCACTATTCACGAATGTCCCACTTCTTGAGACTGTAGAATATATAGGGGAACAACTGATTGAAAATAAAATTGAAACTACTGTTCCGATTAATGTCTTGAAAGAGTTATTACTGAAATGCACCATGAATGTAAATTTCAAATTCAACGGTGACATATTTAGACAAACAGATGGTGTGGCAATGGGTTCACCTCTGGGCCCTATACTAGCTGATATATTTCTAGCTAAATTAGAGAACGGTCATCTGAAAAAGATTATTCAAGAATTCAAATTTTACTGCAGATATATGGATGACACATTCATCCTGTGTAAAGATAATATTTCACAACAAGATGTGCTTAGGCAGTTTAACGAAGTGCATCCAGCCATCCAGTTTACATCGGAGGAAGAGAGTGATGGCCGATTAGCCTTTTTAGACGTCCTCTTAACTAAGAGATCTGATGGATCGTTAAGAAGAAACATGAACAGAAAAAGTACTTGGACTGGACAGTATACACACTTCCTAAGCTTTGTACCTCTACAGTACAAACGAAACCTAATCAAAACCCTTAGCTATCGAATACGCACTATATGTTCGGCGGATGTAGTTGACAATGAGCTAAACACATTGCATAATGCTCTAAGGGAGAACGGGTATCCCAGAAAATTTATAATTAAATATATGATCATGAAAGTGAAAATAGGCGAATTCCAAACGGTCAAGAAAAAGTCCTTGTTCATGCGCCTACAATTCAGGGGGGATGCCGCTGGCGAAATACTTGCTCAGAGATTACGCAGATCTATCCAAAAATCTTTCAACGCAGGTGAACTACGTTTGGTGTTTTCTACGCGTCCAATGGTGACATCGAGGCTTAAAGATGAAGTTCCTAGAATGACCACTTCATTTTGTATTTATCAGTTCGACTGCTCCTGTGGAGCAAGTTATATTGGTTGAAGTTCTAGGAATTTACTTTTTCGTGCTCGTGAACACCTCCCAGCGTAGCTAAGCAAAGGTCTGACGAGGAAAGTAAACAGCTCGACCTAATTTGACCTAATTTGACTATGTACTTACGACCTTTCGTAGTCAAATGTAATTGTCTCTTTATTCACAAATCTTTGTATTTTATTATTATTATTATTTTTATAGAGTTGAGATCATGAGTCAATTGAAGCTAGACTACCATGGAAAACCTGGAAGCACTGGACGGCCGTTTCGTCCTATTATGGGACTCCTCAGCAGTGCGCGTCCACGAACCCACTCTCGCGGGATTCGAACCCAGGACCTACCAGTTTCGAGCCGAAGCCCTTAACCGATAGACCACTGAGCTGGCATCCAACGGTGTTAATTTCTAACTTCAACTGATTCACGAAATTGAGCAACCATTCACCAATGTCATCAGTGAGTTCCTATCTCACAACAGACCTGGTTGAACTGGTGCTCACTGGTGACTTCGAGAAGTATAACTAGGAGCTCTAGTGAGAAGCAGTAACCGGTGGAGTTCAACCAGGTCTGTTGTGAGATAGGAACTCACTGATGACATTGGTGAATGGTTGCTCAATTTCGTGAATCAGTTGAAGTTAGAAATTAACACCGTTGGATGCCAGCTCAGTGGTCTATCGGTTAAGGGCTTCGGCTCGAAACTGGTAGGTCCTGGGTTCGAATCCCGCGAGAGTGGGTTCGTGGACGCGCACTGCTGAGGAGTCCCATAATAGGACGAAACGGCCGTCCAGTGCTTCCAGGTTTTCCATGGTAGTCTAGCTTCAATTGACTCATGATCTCAACTCTATAAAAATACTAAAATCTCCACAAAACCCCTTCTGATATTATTATTATTATTATTATTATTATTATTATTATTATTATTATTATTATTATTATTATTATTATTATTATTATTATTATTGGTTAAATATCATTATTAATCCCCCCTAAACATGATTCATTCACATCGCATTGATCCCTCCTTATTACGTCTTACTAATTTTTCACACATTTAGTCTTCCACTTGATCGAATTGTAATTGCACTATCATATATCTCTCTCACCCCATCTGACCCATATTTATATTCTGATCACAGATCTTAAATTTTCACTTAACATTCTATATGAGTCATATCAACATTAACAATTTTATTCTATTTGATTTGACAATCCTAAATTTACATGCATTAAACTATGTACTTTGCCTTTAACCTGGCCAATTTTTCGGATTATTAATTTGGATATATAATTGTAGAACCTGAAGAGAATTTATCGAAAAGAATATTCTTCGTTCAAATATTAGTCTTTTAATATGATTGGGATTTTTAAACGATATTAAATTACAAGCATGGTAAGCAGAGATGGATAGTGGCTAGCAGTGGAATCCAGGACGCGCGTTTCGTCCTGGATTCCACTGCTAGCCACTATCCATCTCTGCTTACCATGCTTGTGAATTAAGGTATATCGAGGCAATACGCACAGTATGCACATATGCCAATTAGAGACTGACCAGTTGCAGTCCTAAACACATCGATGGGAAGATCCAAACAAACAATACTAAGTGATATTAAATTACGATAACAAAAGTCTTATCAATAGTGACCTGACTCGATGCACTTGTTGATATTTTCTTATCAATAGTTAAACACTGGAAATAAAAGGTCAAACGTGGGTAAATAGACTAGAATAGTAATCACAAAACATTAAAATCATTACGTAATAAGAAACATGTAAGTAATTAGATAGTGAAGAATACAAACGGAAAGAGGCAGAAAATTACAAACAAATGATAATAAAATTAAGATAATAAAAATAAAATTTACAAAGAATAATGTCATTTGTTAAGTTATGTCCGGCCATGGAAGGGATAGGGGGGTTACGAATTTCTTCTGTACACATAAATAAGGGTGGAATGTACGAATTCTTATGGCTTCTGCTATACGAAGGAGACGGGAACGAACTCCGTTGGGAAATGATGGAGGTATACGATAGATCACTTGAAAGGATTTCAATTTATCTACAATATGACTACTATCAATTAGATGTGCCAAGATAGAACTGCGTATTGTTTTTATTTGGACCTTCCCAAACCATGCTGGTAGATGTTCACTCATTCGTTGGTTAAGTTGCCTTGTAGTACGCCCGATATAGCTATCTCCACAGAAGCAGCTAAACTTGTAAATGCACATAGAGGAGGCCAACTTAAGTAACTTTTCCTTCGTTTGAGTAGACATCACTGGTTGACTCGAGAAAGTCAATGCTAGATAGGCCGCGTAGAATGTCCTACTAATAACTTTCGTTAACTTATCTTTCAGAGTATCACTAGCTACATCCCCGTTGAATTGTAATTTCATGTATAAAGGTTTCTTACGAACAGTTGAAATCTCCGACTTCTTTATCATACATGTACTTTTTAATGAATGCAGCAGGGTCAGTGAGTTATAGATAAATTCCAGTTCCTGACTTAAAGTATCAACAGAACAGATCTTTTTGCTCTACTAGTGAGGCATCTAACCAAATTTCTCTTATATTGGATAAATGTAAAGATATAGAAGTGAGTAAATTGGCAGGCAGAGGGTCTTTTTCTATACACACTTCTACTTAACGAGCCATCACATCGCCTGGTTAGTGTAACGTCAAGGAAATTCAGCTTTTTGTCACACTCGCCTTCACCAGTGAAACTAACCGCTGGATGTACACTGTTGAACTGTTCTAGTCTGGGGGGACTAAGAACGAATATTTTGTTGTTGCTAATCTAGGAAAACCGTATACTATCAAATGGCTTTATAGTAGAAAAGAAATGTAATTGTGTGCGCGCCTAATATGACTAAAATAATTGTCCATTTGGATATGGTTATTAACCCCATACTCCTGTTTGGTTCAGTGAAAAAATATATATATATGTATATACTAGAGGGTTATGTAAGTTTATTTGTTTATTTGGTAGTAGGGGCAGGTCACTCGCCATTAATCTTCATGGGTACATTAAGAAACCGATAGTGGTAAGTGAATCGAACTGATAGAACACAATGTTTGCCCAGCGTTTGTCAGGATTATATGAAACCAAATGTCTTGGTGGTAATTAAACATCAAAAGTAAGCTATGTAAATGATCTTATTTCTTTGAATTTTTAACTAGCATGTAAGGCAACCGCTCCAACAACGATAATTTAAGTTGGGTAAATAACTTCTCTTTACAATCAGTTTCTCACTATAGGCTACATACCAATATATATATATGTATATGGACTTTATAATTGAATAGAAAATCATTGTCAACCAAATGGTTGTAATTCAATTAATCAGCCTCCCAAGTCCTGATGAGCCAATTAAACCTAACTTATACTTAGTCAAGTTCATTATCTTATTTCTAAATATCATTTTTTTATGGTGAAGTTCAGAGGAAGACTATAAAAGTTGTATCTTTGTATATCTAGTCAATACTGTTCATTAAATTGATTGATAAATAACCTTTAATGTTACCTATTCATTCTCTTTCATTGTGATCTTTGTTTCAAGATTTCATCTTTTATGTACAATGAAAATCATAATAATACCCGTAAATAAAAAGAACACATTACGCCGAGAAATGGAGACAGACATGAGAAGAATGAACAACAATTGGACAGAGTGGGTTGGAGAATGCTGGTCGGCGGACTATGCTCCACTGGGAGTAACAGGCGTAAGTAAGTAAGTACACGTAAATAAACTGAACTAAATATGAGAAATTTATGAAGTCTCCTATCTCACCTTTAACTATTTATCGAATTCCTATATATTCACTAACACTTTTCTTCTTATAATTTGTTATACCTTCTGTAATAAGTATTAGTAATCAAATCAATCAATTGATTATTGTAAAATCAACAATTTTTCCAACTTAACACTAAATTTTAACGCACAACGTTAATTGAATTGTAACCATTTTGACAATATCTTAATTTATATCCCCTTATAATATCTAAATAATATCCATGTAGAGATATGATGATAATGGGAAGTTAAAAGAAATGAAATATTTTCTTAATTGACTCCTATTTTATATAATATCCTAATGGGAATATCATTTAATAACAATTACGGTAGAAAAATATATATTATACAGATTATTCAAACTTAAAATGATTATTTTAATAGTTAAGATCATGAATCAATTGAAGCTAGACAACCATGGTAAACATGAAAGCACTAGACAGTACTTTTTGTTTTATTGTGAGACTCCTCAGCAGTGCACATCCACGATCCCGACTCGCTAGATTCGAACCCAGGATCTGATAGGTCTGATATGATCGATAGGTCCTGGGTTCGAATCTCATCAGGTGAGATCATAGATGTACACTCCTGAGGAGTCCCACAATAAAACGAAACGACCGTCCAGTGCCTTCAGGTTTTCGATGGTGGTCTAGCTTCAATTGATTCATGATTTGAACTATTAAAATTACTATATTATCCACAAAATCCCTTCTGATATTAAAATTACTACTTATTATAGTAGATTATTTATAATGAAGTTAAATTTACACTTTAAATATCATTTTAAACTTTATTACAATATAGAGATTTATTCGATAACGATGAAAGAACATTTTATCAGTGAGTTCGAATCTTTATTTTATATTTCATTAACAATATTATTATTTTTAAAAAAATAAACAGATTTGAAACAAAAGGAATGAATCCCTGAAAGAATACATGGTATCAAGATGGTAGAGAAAATTTGTAGCTCAGGTGAATGATGTCGATGGAGTTTTGTTCTCTGAGCTGGATGGTTTGATCGTGGCGCTTTCATCGTCCTTCTGAACGACATCATCAGTACAAACTTTGGGTAGAAGTGAAGCGTTCGAATTTCTCCACATGTGGATCACAGCTTGTCCTGTACACCTTCATATTGATTGGTTCGTATTGACCTTAAATCTGTTATTGTTAATATTTTATTCTTCAGTTATCTTCGTTTCCCTCCAATTTATCATAGAGAAGCAACTATTAGCGAGTATTTTTTTTCTACTGTAAAAATATTTCATTTCAGCAAACACTAAGTTTATCACTTAAATCGTCAAATTTTAATATTTATTAAGCATAGGTCTTGGCTTTGATATCATCGACTAGCTTTAGTGAATATATATCAAACGGCAGACTGAAAAGATTACATTGGAAAAAAGTAGCCTATTAAGTTTTATTTCAAGTTTATCAAAAAACTACTGACTCATTGTTCATTGAGATTAATGAATTCAGAGATGACATTAAAGGAAACGTTCGTCACGAAAAATAAATCTGTGTTCTTCTTTGATTTGCATTTTACAAATCCTAAAGGTTTTTACTTTAAATCGTGATATATATGTTGTAATACATTAATATAGAAAAATAGAATTTTTTGAGCAAAATGTCTACCATGTCCTTAAAGTAGGAAAGCTTATTAAGAAAACATAGAATTTGATTTGTAAATCAAGTAGATTAGGTTAGTATTTCGTGTTACAAGCATAATAGCTCAGTGGTTATTGATCATGGGATCGTGGATGCTGAGGAGTCCCATAGTAGAACGAAATGGCCATCCAGTGCTTCCAGGTTTTCCATGATGGTCTAGCTTCAATTGACTCATGATTTCAACTATGAAAATCCATTATAAAATAATTGATATTATATATATATATATGTAATATACGAATAAATTTACTATCAGTAAAATTTAACAACTCACTTTATTCCAATCAAGCAGACTTTGAAATATTGCGATTTCTGTTCGACGTAGATGAATGCTACCTGGTATACGAGTCCCAACTATAAATATATTTAAAGAATAAAATAAATGAATTGATCATACTTAATTTCATATACTACTTTTATCTATAGAGTAGAGTATGTTATCTATAGTATTCATAACAGAAACGTCACTTTGACATTTTTAAGATTGAATGTCATTATTGAGAAAGACTTAACTTTTTGGGTGGTTCATGTCGAAGGCTGAGATCTATTGAGGGACAAATGAAAAATGGCGAGTACTGATGATTTAAATCATGTTAGAAATAGCTAATTTTCATTCCGTGGTGGAAATTACTTAAATGGTTTTAAGTAGCGTTCCTGCGATTCGGTATCAGAAATTAGAAAGACATTATTGAAACCGTGTGGAATAATTGTAGCACATAAACCAAAAAAACCACTTCACTCAGTCTTATACAAATGAATAAGTGAAGTAAAGCCAAACAACGTCTATAAAATAATGTGTTTCAACTGCTCGAGACACTAAATCGGACAAAATGGACGTCTTTCTCGTCTTCTCATGAACAAATATCAAGCAGCGGTCAAACGCCATGATATATCTTCGCTTATATCAATGCATGTAGACTCACATTCGGAAGGATGTTAAAAACTCGGGAAAACACTGATGATAATAGAGAATGTTTAGAAGCTTGCGACTCATGTCAGTTAGGAATCAAAAGCATATCGTAATCGATCCGATTTATAAACCATTCAAAAAAGCATAAGCAAAGCTAGGACCAAGAGTCAAATATGTGATAGAGACAATTAAAATAAAGATACAGATAAGGATAGGTTAAAGGACAACAATAACCGATCAAGATTGAGGTCGATAGAACAAGCTTTCAGCCATATGGGGAGAAATTAGAATACTTCACTTGTACCTGAAGTTTGTGCTGATGATGTTGTTCAGAGGAACAGTGAAGGCTTCACAATTAAACTATCCAGCTTAGCGAACGGAACTCCACCAAATTATACATGTATGGAAATGCGAACCACACTTGTAGTCATTTTTATAGAATAAAAGTTACTATGACCAATTAAATATATAATCTTTAATAAGACAACGAAACCTCGTTTTATTTAATTGATCTTTTTCATTGTTTCCTTGTAGATACTGTCAAATTATTTTAAAAGACTAAAACATACTGTTGAGAAAAACTTACATGTCTTTGTTTTATTCCAATGTTCACGTGTAGCATCAATAAGTCGTAAGAATTCTTTATTAAAATTTTCCGCCTCAGCTGTTGGTGGTTCAGTTAAAGAGAATACTAAGTTGTTTAGAAATCGTTTAAACGCTTCATCATCATCTGTAGTTAAACCCTATTGATTAATCGATATAAAACAAAATAACAATGTTGAAAAGAGTGTGAGTATTTCTTAGTGATTTGTAATATTGAAACGTTTAACAGAAGCTATAAAAAGAAGGGACCTCACTGTCCATTTATGATTCATTTGAACTCAGAAAGCCAAACACACCACGATTCTGTGTCATACCTAAAAATCACAGATCAAAATTTCCTCTTTACCGAGTTTAAGCACTGTTTCGTCCTTCATCTGTATACCCACTAATATGCAGAAGATCGTTTGTCTCAATCCAGATTAAGACCTTGAAAAGATGGTTTACTGGTTTAACTTTAACACTAGTATGCGTGAATTCAAAGTCAGACTACTGCTTTGGGTAGAGAGACAAAAGTTATTCTATCACCTGATTAGTTGACAAGCGTGCGAGAGAGAGAGAAGACGAGTCAACTGGAACACCATTAAATTTATTCCTGATTCCGATTCACACTCCGATTTCGTTCCGAATCAGATTAGTGCAAAAAGATACATGAATAAATAGATGACCATAATACATAAACAATTAGGTAAATACAATTATGTCGTAAACTGGGGATTAGGATAGAAAATAAAGAACAAAAGATTACGTTTAAATTATAATAGCTTTGGAACAGAAAAGGCTGTTTTAGATTAGGTTACTGAATAACAATCAATTATGATAAGCATTGGTTTTGTATTGAGACATTACTACAATTATAAAAAGATCTTTTAGAAGATTTAAATGTACTTGTACGAACAAATCATAACAAGAAACAAACGCTTTCTGATGATTATACGGTGTTACTCAATGCTTCAAAGCCGTAAATATTCTTTTAATTCAGAAATATTGTACTGAATACATCTTCGCGGAAACAAGAGAGGTGTTGATGAAATATCTGGAGCTAAAACTTGACAATTTTTAACTACTATCAAGTTATTACTCATTCTTAATATCAACAATTTATACGTTTATTTCACATAATTAATTCCTTTAAAAGGAATATTCTGTAGTTGTTTGCATTGAAAATGCTTGTAAGGTAAGAAAATATAACTACTCATGTGTAGTATCAAAGAAATTGTTATAATGTGTGAGTGCGTCCGTGCCCTGTTCGATATATGAACGTGCTGAGCGAATTATCGATCGGAGCAATAATACACAAAAGCCGTATATGCAAAATGTATTGAGAACTTACATCACTTTCAATAAACCGTTGTAATAAGATTGTGAAGAATTGAAGACAAATTTTCAGCTGTTCATCTATGATGTAATTCCAACTGTCTAAAATGACTTTATAAAGTCTGTAAAGAATGAAAATATTAAGATTATGCTGATTAATACAAAAAAACAATCAGATTATAAGAAACTCAGTAAAACGTTTGGTAATTAGTGAAAACATTTATAGGGGTAATTGATAGTTATTTCTTTTTCCGAACTGATTAAGTTTATCCATACAATTTCAGATTACAGTATATTTGAATCATCTCGGAGAAGTAACAGGAATTGTTAAATGATTACAAGTCCTCTAGTCAAACACTTACTATATACTTTCGTAAATTTAACCAATAAACATTGTACCTCATGATGACCATGTAAACTTTTATTCAATAGGCCGAAAACCCGGTAATCAATGATTTTAGACATGTGCACAATGTGACTAATTATTAAACACTGTTAATGATTCACTTAGTATTGTTTGTTTGAATTTTCCCATTGATGTTTAGGACTGCAACTGGTCAGTCTCTTATTGCCATATGTGACGAAACGAGCGTCCTGGATTCCACTGCTAGCCACTATCCATCGTTGCTTATACTGACAATGGTTATTTGATGTTCTCTTACTTTTATAATAATACTGTTTTATATGGAAATGTTGTTTTTGAATCTGATTAAATGTTACAGGGAGTGACTTTGAAATCGGTTTTCAATGAGGCGAATGTTTCACTATTAACTTTATGAAGAACTTTTCAGCAGAATAAACTCAACATATACAATCAAATTAATAATGTGAATTTGTGATGTGGGTTACTTATATCTACATAAGTAGTATATTGTGATGGTCAGGCATATAATGTATTTTGGCAGAAGATCGATAAGGAAAGAACAGAAATGAAGCGCAGTCGGTATGAAAATGCATGAACATTGAAATCAGAGAAGATGGTCTGATATTTGCAGAAGGAATGGTCAAGATTAAAACAACTGGTTGATAGTTTGCAAATTAACTATTAACTGTATGGTAGCCAGATTTTAGTGAGATAGTGAATCAAACGTTTCTGGTAAACTTTTATAAAATACGTCAACGTAAGACATTGGAAGATTTCTCAGTTTACATTCCAATTGTATGAACACCTCTTATTATGTAATTTAGATAATTTATAATGAACGTTATTTCAATGTCCTTTTTTTAAGTCGCCGACCCATTTCATATTACGAAATTGTTTCAAGCCTTTATTATTCTTAACACAACCAGTAAACATGTCATCATACTCTCAGCTTGTAGTTTTTATTTATTATGTTTACGTTGGGGAGGTTAGATCCCCAGAACTCATTTGGGAAAGGTCCTAATTCTGTAATTTTATCCCGAAAATTTGAATTTTATGTTTTCGCACAAAGAAACTCTTAGTTGACCTACAGCTCACAGTTCCCACTCGGAATTCCTTGACTGTCATTGGTTGACGGATTTTTTTAGTGTGCTATTTTGTGGCTCTCCTAAGGGCGTTTCTATCATTGCATAAATAAGCTTGATTTATGTGCTTAGTGACCTCGTATTTTGTGGGTGTTTGTAGAATACAATCTCTAGGCCTCATTAAGACTTCTTGATCTAGTTAGCCGGGTCGGGGACAATGGATTAGAATAAGCCTATCGTGTCACTGTGTCATTGACCTTCGTTCCGTTTACCGAGTAAGGTGAACTCGTAATAGCATCAAGTGTATCAGTTTATTTATGCAATTATTGACTTTACAAACTGCCTTGATCAGTTTAATAATTCAATATATGACATATAAATACTATTGTATATTAAAGAAAGGGCTGATGAGGATTTAATTGAAAGGAATATTGTTTGCTTATATATTCTGTTGTAACTCATAATATGGGAATTTTTAGTAGCGTACAAACACGTTTGGCTTTTTATATTAATAAACAGAGTACACCCATTGAAACATTAAGTGAGAAAGATTGATTCAGTGAAGTGTTCTCTTTTCGGAGAATTCTTTTTCAAATCTGTACAATCGCAAATATATACACTTATTTTTGAGGCTAACAATAATTTCAACAATAATGATAATAAACGTCTGTTAAACATAATAACAGTGAAGTAGGACAAAGGTATTACAAAAGTTTTTTTTCAGTCAGAGATACTGATAGTAGTTTTATTGTTAAGGGTTTAAATATTATTTACAATAAGTATATATATTTGCAATTGTACAGCTTTATAAATGAATTCGCCGAAAACAGAACTCTCTTAGCTGAACTAATCATTCTTATTTTTCCTATAATCACCAGTACTCTAGTGTGTAACTCCGCCTGTAGCTCTTCTAGAGTTACTGCCGGTCCCATACCCGGGTAAAAGAGGAGGGTTGAGCATGGGGTTAGCAACCCAATCCCGTAGAAAAGCTAACTCGCTAAAAAAACGCTAACCAGAAAAAATAATTCAAACCATTTAAACTCTGTCCTGGGAGTTGAAGGAATAATTATGACGTCTCATGATGAAAGCCGAATTTCTTTGGAAGTCACGAGACTGATGCACCTTCTAACAACCAGAGCAACACTCTTTATAGGTAAATGGAACGTCCGGACAATGTGGGAGACAGGAAAGACCAGCCAAATAGCAATGGAAATGAGAAGATACAACTTGGCAGTACTCGTAATCAGCGAAACCCATTGGACACAAACTGGACAACAAAGTCTAGGTTCAAGAGATATGCTGCTGTACTCCGGTCACGAAGGGGAAAATGCTCCACACACTCAGGGAGTTGCTCTAATGCTGTCCAAAGAAGCACGAAATGCACTTGTGGGATGGGAATCTCATGGACCCAGGATAATCAAAGCATCATTCAGAACAAAGAAGCAATGAACGTTATCCAATGTTATGTACCCACCAATGATAGCAACGACGATGATAAAGATCAGTTCTATGAAAGGCTGCAATCAATTATAGAGAAGTGTTCACGAAAGGACATCACCATCCTGATGGGAGATCTAAATGCTAAAGTTGGAGTGGACAACACAGGATATGAAGATATGATCGGACGACATGGACTAGAAGAGACAAATGAAAATTTGGAGAGACTTGCAAACCTATGTGCATTCAACAAATTGGTTATAGGCGGCACAATATTCCCCCGCAAACGCATACACAAAGCTACATGGATCTCATCGGACCACACCACAGAGAACCAGATAGATCACATCTGTATCAACAAAAAATTCCGAAGATCAATGGAAGATGTGAGAACCCGGAGAGGAGCTGACATAGCTTCAGATCACCACCTGGTTGTGGCCAAGATGAGACTGAAGCTAAAGAAACACTGGACAACTGGACAAACAGCACTACAAAGGTTCAATACAGCCTTCATTCGAGATATTGACAAGCTCAATGAATTCAAGATAACTCTCAACAACAGGTTCCAGGCTCTACAGGATCTACTGAATGAACAAGATACTACGATGGAGGACAACTGGAAAGGGATGAAAGAAGCACTAACTTCAATGTATCAGGAAGTTCTTTGTCCTAAGAAGCATCATCACAAGGAATGGATTTCTATGGGAACCTTGGACAAAATTCAAGAAAGGAAGAACAAGAAACTAGCAATTAACAACAGCTGAACACGAGCAGAGAAAGTCAAAGAACAAGCAGACTACGCAGAAGCAAACAAGCAAGTGAAGAAAAGCATTAAGGCCGACAAGCAGAAATACATGGGAGATCTAGCAACGACGGCGGAAAAAGCTGCAAGAGAAGGGAATATGAGACAGTTATATGATACAACGAAGAAATTGGCAGGGAGATACAGCAAACCAGAGAGACCAGTCAAGGACAAAGAAGGAAAGACAATCACTGAGATTCAAGAACAGAGGAAAAGATGGGCAGAATACTTTGAGGAACTGCTGAATAGACCAGCCCCATTGAATCCACCGAACATCGAAGCAGCCCACACTGACCTTCCAATAAATGTCACTCCACCAACGATCGAAGAAGTCAAGATGGCCATCAGACAAATCAAAAGTGGGAAGGCGGCAGGACCTGACAACATACCAGCAGAAGCACTGAAGTCAGACATTGAAATAACTGCAAATATGCTTCACCTTCCATTCAAGAAGATTGGGGAAGAGGAACAAATGCCAACGAACTGGAAAGAAGGATATCTCATCAAGATACCAAAGAAAGGAGATCTGAGCAAATGTGAGAACTACAGAGGAATCAGTTTGCTGTCAATACTAGGAAAAGTTTTCAACAGAATGCTGCTGAATCGGATGAAAGACGCAATAGACAACCAACTTCAAGATCAACAGGCTGGATTCCGTAAGGATAGGTCGTGCACAGACCAGATTGCGACACTACGGATCATCGTTGAACAATCAGTTGAGTGGAACTCATCACTATACATCAACTTCATCGACTTTTGAGAAGGCGTTTGACAGCGTGGACAGGAGAACATTATGGAAACTTCTTCGACACTATGGAGTTCCTGAAAAGATTGTCAACATTAACCAGAACTCATACGATGTCATGCATGGAGGACAGCTGACAGATGCATTTCCAGTAAGGACCGGAGTCAGACAAGGCTGTCTACTCTCCCCATTCCTCTTCCTTCTAGTGATTGACTGGATTATGAAGAATTCGACATCTGAAGGGAAATACGGAATACAATGGACTTCTCAGAATCAATTAGATGATTTGGACTTTGCAGATGACCTAGCCCTCCTCTCATTACACACGAACAAATGCAAATGAAGACAACAAATGTAGCAGCAGCCTCCGCATCGATAGACCTCTACATCCACAAAGGAAAAAGCAAGATTCTCAAATGCAACATGGAGAACACTGACCAAATCACACTTGATGGCGAAACTCTAGAACAGGTGTAAACATTCACGTACCTGGGAAGCATCAATGATAAACAAGGAGGATCGGATGCAGATGTAAAGGCGAGGATTGGCAAAGCAAGGGCAGCATTTTTACAATTGAAGAACATATGGAACTCAAAACAACTGTCAACTAATTTCAAAGTAAAAATCTTCATTACGAACGTCAAGACAGTCCTACTATATGGAGCTGAAACGTGGAGAACTACTACGGCCATCATCAGGAAGGTACAAGTATTTATAAACAGTTGTCTACGCAAAATACTCAATATCCACTGGCCGGATACTATCAGCAACAGCGTTTTATGGGAGAGGACAAACCAGCTTACAGCTGAAGAGGAAATTAGGAAAAGACGTTGGAAGTGGATCGGACATACATTAAGGAAATCACCAATTTGTATCACGACTCAAACCCTAACTTGAAATCCGGAAGGGAAGCGGAAAAGAGGAAGGCCAAAGAACACACTACGTCGTGAAATAGAAGCCGATATGAAAAGGATGAATAGCAACTGGAAAGAACTGGAAAGGAAGGCTCAAGAAAGAGTTGGATGGAGAATGCTGGTGAGCGGCCTATGCTCCTCGATGAGGGGTAACATGTGTAAGTAAGTAAGTACTGTAGTGTGTGCTACTGATGTTGACAGATACAAGTAGTATGTATCACCAAAAGAATGTGAAATGCCTGAAAGCAGATGCTTGAGAAAATTGGACAGAAGAGAACAAGAACAGAGAGTGATGGGGATGAGAACGAAGAAACAATCAAATCTAAGACAATTGATTGACATTTTGTGAATGAAGTATCTATTGCATGGTTCTCAGATTTTACTAAGAAATTCTGTATTGTGTTGAGATACGTTTGGTTGTCGTCAATTTTGCTACCTTTGCACGTTTTGAGTAGTATTTTGATGTTAAGGATAAAATATTTAAATTGTTTAGTGAGATCTCGCCTACCAATATACTATGTGGGTAATTACTAGGAAACAGTTAATTGAAGCAATTAAGAAATACAGCTTAATAAATAAACTAAGTAAATAATAATTTATAGTTGCTTACTTTATTGCTTTCTCTTGAGCTTCCATATCGGGTGACGGAATCCATACACATACAGATGGTACTAATGCTTCAACTTTCCCATCAATACTTCTAACATGCCAATGAAGCTTTGACGATGATTGTCCTAATGGACTGACATTTTCTGTAAAAGTACTACTCGTTTGATCACTACTTGTAGTACCAGAACCACTGGTTTGACCACGACCAAAATTCCAACAAGGCATTGTTGTGATTCTAGGTTTTGGATATCGTAAATAAGAGTTACTGTCAGTTGAACGATCGTCTATTTCCTCGGTTCTTGAATGACTATCACTATCTGTTTCACAAATATCCAATGTATCAGATGTCATATTATGTGATGCTTCTGATGTTATATCTTCCTCTTGATTAATACCTGTTCTTAATAGGAATTTCTGTTTATTTTCTACACCACCAGCCATATTGTCAATTATAACAATTCGCTCACCAGCGGTTAGTTTAAACTTAGGTGTTTCATAATCGCATAGCATTACACCATTTACAGGGGAATTAATACGATTAGTTCGTAGATAAATAGGCACAAGTGATTTAGATTGTTCAATTAACTGTTTTGAACGATTGACCACATAGTTTAAATGATCAAACTGGCTCTGTAAACAGATAATATTTTTCAATAAATAATGAATTATATTTAAGTTATTGAATTGAAGGTAATCTTCATAATAATAATTAATTTCCTAGAGTACTCTTACCACGATTTTTGTCTTAATGACGAGTAATCAAATATGTTCATAAAGAATATAATGATAAAAATATTACTTGTTAAATATATAAAAAAGTGGCTATCAGGATTCAGTAGCTAAGTGGAGGTCCCGAGTTCGAGTCCCGTGTGCGGAGTCATACATGTGCACTGTTGAGGGGTCCCATACTAGAACGAAACGGCTGTCCAGTGCTTCCAGGTTTTTCATGATGGTCTAGCTTCAATTGACTCATGATCTCAACTACTGAAATTACTATAATATCCACAAATCCCCTACTGACATTAAATAGGCATGTATTTCACACTTTTTCTTCAACTGTGTACAATTTAAACGAGACAGTATCAGTCATTGTTGACAACTTTTTCAAGATTTTGATCGTAAGTATTTAAATGGCTATTTTAATGAGCAGTATTCAGAATACAGTGGTATTGAGTTCTGTTAGATGTATGGAGATGGTTATCACTTCCCGGTTGCTGACACTATTGACAGGTTCTTCTTCAGGCATCTGAGACGGAAGCTACGTCAGAATCGGTCTTAGTGACCTGAGAGCATAACCGTATTGTACAAAGGGCAACATCTTGAAGCAGGTCACGCAAGACTTTTTTGTGTAGTCGTAGTACTTGTTGAGGCTTAAGTGCCGGAGACTGAAATCCATGTGATTAGGCTAGGTGCGCATTTTTCGAGTCAGCTTTTTCTACCCTCACCCTTCCTTTGTTAGAAAGCAGCATCACCGTTACGCTGGTTGAGAAACACATTACAGCCGTTACATCTCTGTATAATCTGAAGTACAACTTCCCCATCGGACATTTAGTTTACTATTTTTTAACTTACCGTTCTTCAACCGAACTGTTTCGCATGGCAGGACCTTGAGAAACGATTGTTTCAGCCAGTGTAGCCCGATTACTTTCTTACAATAGGCAAGCCCGACCACCACATCAAGGTGGAAGCCTAGGGTAAATACCACTAAGCCAGGGTACATGCAATCAAGCACGAAGCCAGGTGAATGCTTCATTAAATATTTTCGGGTCATGTTAATGAACCTAAGGCAGATTCACCTACAGAAACCTCGTTACGACTTTTACTTCCTCTAAATAGTCAAATCAAATAATCTTCTCAACATCAGTCGAGCGACAAAGCTACTACAACGAAGCCAATCCAATGTCCTCACTAAACCTTTCAATCGGTAGTAGCGACGGTTGGTGTAGACTAAAATGAACTAATTGTTATTCTATTATTCACATTATTCTTAATTTTTAATCAAACAAATAAAATATTTGGAAGGGGGTCTTGTGGAGATTTTAGTAGTTTTATACATTTAAAATCATGAGTCAATTGAAGCTAGACCACCATGAAAACCTGGAAGCACTGGACGGCCGTTTCATCCTATTGTGGGACTCCTCAACAGTGATCTTGGATGCACACTGCTGAGGAATCCCAAAATAGAATGAAACGGTAGTCCAGCGCCTCCAGGTTGTCCATGGTGGTCTAGCTTCAACGTACTCATGATTTCAACTGTATAAAATAAAATATTTAATAATCAAAAATATAAATTATCCAAGTTAAAGTTCTCTCAAAATTCTATTTACTTATTTAAATGATTTGAATGTTTAATGTAAAATATTTTTTTAAAAAAAAAGAAAAGAAATTAAAAGTACATTGATTCCTTCTTTTGAACTCCAACTAATATCTGAACACTTTAATTTTATTAAAATTTAATTAAACTTATAATCACCAAGTGATTATCATATATGTATCTAGGTACTTTATCATATATATCAGGTGATACCAGACAACACAAAGTTTTAATTGCTATGTGACATAAATATACATATATATCAAGCAAATGAATGGATTAAAATTAATTAAGAAATGAGGTCAAATAAATTCTTCTCTAATTTTCTTTTTCTTTCATCTTTCTTATAATTTTAGTCTCTACTGAAAGATTCATTATATATATATATATATATATATATATATATATATATCTTTGTATATTTATCATAGCTTATTATTCTGAATCCAATATCGAAGTGAAAACTTTGATATATCATTTTGTCAATAAACGTTTTTGGAATATATATACATATTACTAGAAATTACTTGTTACTTAAATTGATGTGATATCATATGCCTACTGAAAATTATATTTAAGTAGTATATGATTATTCTTTTAAAATTAGTGTAGATTTTGATTTTCAAGGTACACATAACTATTTGATAAAAAGCTGATCATACAATTTGATCTCAATCAAGATAAGTATAATCAAACTGTTATATCCCCCGCTGAATTATGAATGTTAACTCTGAGGATTATTTATGGACCAATTTAATATGTATATTTTTTATTGTATAATTTTTAAGTAACTAACCTAATCGTATTCGTGTTCCTCTTATCATTAGCTTTATTTTAACCTTTGAACTATGATTATACGATTTTTGAGTTATCATCAGTCTATTGATTACTGTTCCCCCTATTCACAGCCATATTTGGCTAAATCTTGTACAAATGTTAATTTCTACTTTATTGTACAATGTGGTCTATTTGATTGGTATATAAACCCAACATGTTTGTAAATAATAATTCATATTGTAGAGGCCATTATTGGTGTTCTGGACTTAACTGACTGGGCTGTGTTAGGTAGAAAGCAGGACCGAGCAGTACTCAAGACTGCTCATAGGGCTTTTGTGTATCATATCTCTGATCGATAATTCGCTTCTCTCTTATTGGCGGGGATCAGCACTTTCATAAATCAAATAGGGCACACGCACGCCTACGTCATAACGCAAACTTTTTATCTGTAAATTTAGAATAAACATACAAATTGCCCAAATTCAAAAATAATTTACACTTACTCTTAACCAATCTCTTAATTCTTTTGATGAATTTGTATAATATTCATGATTCATTTCAGCAAATCGTCCACGATTATACAGAAATTTTTTATGTCTATCATAAAGTTTAGTTTCTAAATGTCTGGCATCATAGTAAAACTAGAAAGACAAAAGTAAAAGAGTTTGATTTAACTTTTTTATGTCAAATTTTATTCAAAACCAAAACGACAATGCTAAGTAATATTGAGAGAGTCTACATGAGCAAAGTTTTAGTGGGGATTGTTTGTAAACTCGATGTTTTTCATATCAAGTTTGCAAATTGCTTCAGTCAATTAAACTTCACCAATCTTATGAGGATTTACATATGAATATGAAATTACATACTGATTCGTTTAAAAAGTATAACTGAATACTGGATATTCGGCTATCTATCTTTGAAGAACTTGACAAACTTAATATTATCTGTGTTTATCGATAAATATAAATTCACCTCCGCAACTCTATGTAACTATTTTCTTTAAAAATCTATAACGACCATCAGTCTAAAGTACAGTGTTTAATATCAATTTTCTTTCCTTTTTTAATGATTTTCTGTCTTGCTTGAAACAATTATTTCAAACTCGTACTCATTATTTGTATAATTAGAAATTTCATTTCCTACGTATTGTACTTTTCTGAACTAACCAGATAAGTTACTATGAATACTTTTAGCCACTACCACTAAACTTTGCTAGAAAGGGGCCGGCAGAACTCAGTACCTAGATGGATAACACGATGGCATCCAAAGCGAACAGTGATGGGTCTAAGTCCCGGAGTGAATGTCAACTCTGGGATAAAGGCATATCCAGATGACGAGTTCCAAATGGGACGAAACGCACATCATGGACTCCACTGCTAGCCACTACCCATTTATACTATTAGTGCTTGTGAGTTAAGGCAATATAGAGGCAATCCTCATAGGATGTAAATATGGCAATAAGAGATTGATCAACTGCAGTCCTAAACATCAGTTGGAAGATTGAAACAAAAAGAATTTAGTGGATCTTCGTCGAAAAATACAATTTAGCAGTTTTACCTCTTGAATAGAAAATTTTATAATAATTTTACACCATGATGCGCACATACATGTTTTCATGCCCGGCAGGTTGACTATAAAAAATTAACAACTGAAAATGTTGTACAATATTCCCGTGACATTTACTTTGTAAGGATATTCTAAACAATATTGAATAATATGAAAACTAAAATACTAGCTGTATGAATAACTCATTTCAATCATTTGTAACTCTTAACTTTAGGAGTTTTGTCGCTAAGATGTATTGCGTAATTTCGAGATTATAAATGTAGAATAACTAGATCTGATGCTAACCTGATTCACATTTTGAGTAATTATAACGGACTTAGTTATAAAATGTATTATTTTGGATAATCGGATCTGAATTATTGTCCAGATTACGTAACAAGAAATAAGATATAAATTTATTAAATATATCTGATCTATTTTCATAGTTGAAATCATGAGTAAATTGGAGCTAAACCACCATGGAAAACCTGGAAGCACAAGACGGCCGTTTCGTCATATTGTGGGACTCCTCAGCAGCGCACATCCATGATCACGCCTTGCGAGATTCGAACCAAGGACCTATCAGTCTCGCACCCGAGCGCTTAACCACCAGATCAATCCACGAAATCGAACAACCATTCACCAATTGTCTTCAGTGAGTTGATATCTCACAACAGACCAGGTTGTCTAGCTTCAATTGACTCACGATTTCAACTATAAAAATGCTGAAATCTCCACAAAACCACTTCTGATATCCGATCTCATTAAGCATTATTTGTTATACAGTTATTTTTCAATTTCATAAGAAGTAATTTTATCAAAGAAATCTAGTTAGTTGAAGAATTAATTGATAATTGGTGAAATGTAGAAATTCAAATAGAGCTGTATTACCTGATGAAAATCGGCAGCATTTTTAAGATGTATAGTTGCTAATTCTGAATATCGACCAAGATTTTGCCAGCATCGATTGATAGGTCCAGATAATTTCTAAAAATTAAGGGTAAATAAATGTTATAATATTTACATAATAAATCGATTTCTGCATATCAACTAAAGTCTTGTATTTATTATTTGAAATTGAGGTAAGAAACGCTAATTTCTCGAGTAAACAAAATTTGACGTTACTATAATAAGGATTTTTATTTTTTGTTTAGACCTTATGTAGTATTACATAAGATTTATATTACCTAGATTTGAGACATTTATTGATTACGTCATTCAGAATTCCAGCTAAACTATAGACAATATGAAATACAATTACTTATGCCAGTTACTCCCAATGGATAATAGGCCGCCCACCAGCATTCTCCAGCACATTCTGTCCTCGCCCTTCTTTTCTAGTTCTATCCAACTTTTGTTCATTCTTCTCATGTCTATCTCCGTTTCTCGGCGTAATGTGTTCTTTGGTCCTCCTCTTCTCTTTTGGCCTTCAGGATTCCATGTGAGGGCTTGTCTTGTGATGGAGTTAGCTGCCTTCCTCAATGTGTGTCCTATCCACTTCCAACGCTTCTTCTTGATTTCTTCCTCCGCTGAATCGAATCTGGTTTGTTCTCTCTCACAGTAGGTTGTTGCTGATAGTGTCTGGCCAATGCATCCGAAGTATTTTGCTTAGACAACTGTTAATAAACACATATACTTTCTGGATGATGGCTTTCACAGTGACCCAGGTTTCTACCTCATATAGTAGAAATGTCTTGACACTTGCATTGAAAATTATGACTTTAGTGATAGTTGACAGTTATTGGGTTGACATCCAGATGTTATTCAGTTGTAGATATGCTGCTCTTACCCAGCCGATCCGCGCCTTCACATCTGCATAAGATCTATCGTGTTCATCAATGATGCTGCCCAGATATGTAAAGGTTTTTACATCCTCCAAAGCTGTTCTGTCAAGTGTGATTTGATTGGTTGTATCGGAGAATCTTGTTTTTCCCTCTGAGACCTAATGCTTCTGAGGCTGCTGCTACACTGGCCGTCTTCCCCTGTATTTGTTGTTACATGTGCGATAGAAGGGCTACTGCCGGTCCCAAGCCCAGATAAAAAAGAAGAGCCGGGCATGGAGTAAGCAAACTCACCCCGTAGAAAACTAACTTGCTAAAAAAACGCTAACCAATATGAAATGTAACTTTAAAATTATTGAAATCGTTTAAATGGACTACATTTTGTGTTTATGGTCATTTGAAAACAAGGTAACTAACAACAGTACCGTGATCTCTTTCTTTTGTATATAAAAGTTACTTATTCATATCTTTAGCCAAACAAATTCAATTATTATTTTATCAAGAGTGGAAGGTTTTCAAAATTCCAACTGATAAATTCGTATCGACGTTTTTTCAAAATGAGAACAATATAAACAATCTCAAGTAGACATTGTTCCTTCAAAAAATTGAAAACAGTCAATAAACCAATCATTGTCTATAATAAATTTATTAACTTTCAACGACGATTTAAACTTCGTCTTTCTATTTCATGTATTATTCTTACTGATGAAATCTAAATCAATTCAAGAAAGGATTTTAGAACATTTCACATAGATCGTTAGTAATCAGTACATTTTCAATCATAGAATAATGAGTAGATAACTTGTATTTTTAACGTTTTGTGACCTAATGTAAGCCACTTCTTCAGACTAATCATCCTCATAGATAATAATAAATTATAAATTGTCGAACAATGGTAAGAATAAGATTAAGCTAACATTGTACTGTGTGCTACTGATTTTAAAAGATATAAGTAGTATGTATCACCATTCGAAAGTGGAATGCATGACGGCAGAAGGTTGAGGAAGTCGAAGAGAAGAGAACGAAAACAGAGAGTGATTGGTGTGGAATCGAAGAAACATCAAAGTCTTAGACGATCGATTGACATTTTTCAAATGAAGTATTCACTGTATGTAAATAAAAATAATATATTTGCAATGTCCCAGTAAGAAGAAAAATTAGATTTTCTGACGTTTCGCGATTCAGTTTAAACCATTTCTTAATAGGATAAATAACCAAATCAAAACTAATCTTGGAATATTTTTGATATGATTGTTTATTCTCTGAAGAAGTGGCTTAAACCGAGTCACGAAACGTCAGAAAAATCTAATTTTTCTACTCAATAAGATATTGTGAATATATTATTTTATTCATAACAATTTACCTAATGCTCAAATTATTTGAAATTATCAAGTTAAACCTTGATATTGATATATATTTACTGTATGGTTCTCAGATTTTTGTAAGACGTTCTGTAATTTGGTATTAAAACACATTCGATTGTCCCCGTTTGTGTTCTCGTTCACTACAATATTACGTATGGTAACTTTACTTTTAAATTTAAAATATCAGTCAAGAAGTACACCTTGTTATTTAGTGATAAAAAAACTTGGATACATCAATAATCTTATTGTTATTTAGTTAATCTGAAATCAAATAACACAATAGTTTTTAAGATGAATTTTTTATTGACCCGTTGTAATGGTAACTTAAGAAATTTATTTATCGATGATTAACTCTTTATGTCAGTCAGTCAGCTACAACGTAGAACCAGGCACACATATGAATCGCTTCAAGTTGCCATAACTCGTTAGCACAACAACATCAACACCGAATTCATAGAAGTAGCTAATTTAGTGGTGGTAATATATAAAACAAAGGTTGTATATAAGGATATACCACAGGAAGAAAGACAGATATGATGCAATTTTAATCTCAAGGTGTAAGGGAAGATAAAGAGTGCATACACCTGCACCATTGTGATCGATTCTGAGCCACGACACACAGAGTCTTCTACGATAGTAACGCGGACCCCAACGAAGTAGTCCGCATCTACCAACAAAGCTAAGACAAGAAGTTAGTGACTTCAAGCTTTGATGCCACGTTTTGGCCTCCCCTAACGTTTTTCCAACCATCCCCCATACTAGTACGTCGTAGTGTAGTGAACAGAACACGACTGGGGACAATTGAATGTATTTAAGCAAAGTTACAGACTATCTCAGTAAATTCTGACAACCATACAATGAACAGTCAATTTGCAAATGAACAACCAATAGTCTCGATTTTCACTGTTTCTTCTCTAATTCCATTGTTTGTCCATTTTCCTTCCGATTGCGCTTCGTTTCAGTTCTTTCCTCACTGGTCTTCTGCGAAAAGACATTCTATGTCTGACAAAAACCATATACTACTTATATGGATATAAGTAGACCACACCACAGTAGTAATCGGTGTTCAAGCATACGTAACACATAAACTGTTTATGTAAACATTAATTTAATAGATAATTCTTAGTACAGTCATTTACAATAAGTGAGTTTGTATTAATAACATTTTATTGTACTACTATTCAACCTGGCATTGTAACTAAATATCTATCAAAGTGTTACACAAACATTTGATATATATATACATATGCAGATAGTTTTATTGTATTTTGGCTAATAATAAAATGACAGTACTTTATACAAAATAACAGATATTCTTCATTTTTATCAGAAGGGGGTTTAGTGGAGATTGTAGTAACTTAATAGTTGAATTCATGAGTCGTTTACAGCTAGACCATCATGGGAAACCTGGAAACAGCGAAGGGCCGTTTCGTTTTCATATGGGACTTGCTAGAGCACGAACGCTTAACCTCGAAACCACTAAGCCTGTATCCAACGGTGTTATAGTCTAACTTCAACGAATCCACGAAATTAAACCACCGTCTAAACCGATAGGTCCTGAGTTCGAATACCGCGTAGACGGATGATGAATGCGCACTGCTCAGGAGTCTCATACTAGGTAGAAACAGCCGTCCAGTGCTTCCAGGTTTTCCATGGTAGTCTAGATTTAGATTGATTCATGAATTCAACTTTTTTTCTTCTTTTTTTTGTATAAAAAATGAATCAATACTTTATATATAAACTAATATATGAGTAGGATGAATAACATAGACAAATATCGTCATTCTGTGTCACAATATGCCATAATATCGTAACTAAGAAATCATTTATAGTGATATTTAGTTGCTTTTCATGTAATCTAATACACTATCCTTTAAATGCGAAGCTATTAACTGGTTGAGAAATGTAATATCGATTGCAGGTGGATTATATAATATTTGGAAAATTCTAATAAAAGAAAGTGAATTGAATAAACACATGAAATCAGTCACATGAAATCATATGAACCCCATTTCGATTTGGATAGAAAGATTATTTTCAAACCATAAATTTACTAGTGTCATAAGTTTGAACTCACAGAACATAGTTTTTAGATAAATTAGATCATTTAAACTGTATGGATACTGAATTCCATTTTATTATTAACTGTACCAAACGTACTAGAATTTAAGCAAATTTTAAAGTTTTAGACGTTTATCAGATTCAATGTATAAAATAAAGAAGAAATACGTACAATTAATCTGTCTCAGAGTTTTTTTTAGCAAGGATGTTTTCTAAAGCATAGGGTTGCCGACCCCACGCCCAACCCTGCTTCACTACTTGAGCTTGGGACCAACAGTACCGTTAGAAGAGTTACAGGTGGACAGCATTCGTACAATTGAAGAACATATGGAACTCAAAACAACTGTCTTCCAATCAATACCATACTCAGAATCTTCAATATGAACTTCAAGACAATTCTATTGTACGAAGCTGAAACTTGGAAAACTACTACAACCATCGTCAAAGCAGTACAAGTATGTATAAACAATTGTCTACGGAAGATACTGAATGTCTGTTGACTGGATATTTTCAGCAACAACTTACTGTTGAGGGAGAACAAATCAGCTTCCATCTGAGGAAGAAATTAAGAAAGAATGATGGAATTGGATAGGACACACATAACGGAAATCACCAAACTGCATCACGAGGTCAGCGGTAATTTGGAATCCTGAACGAAAACGGGAGGATGGAAGACCAAAGAACACACTGCGTGGAGAATTGGAAGCAGGTATGAAAAGGATAAATAGAAACTAGGAAGGATTTCCCAGGACAGAATTGGATAGAGAATGCTAGTGAGCGGCCTATGCTCCTCGACGAAGGGTAACAGGGGTAAGTAAGTAATCTGTCTTAATTTATGGATTCATAAGTTCTGATGAAATATTGTGTATATATGTTAGCTAGAGTTGGTTGCTTTGCTACATAACAGGAAATTTATAAACATAAACCAAAAGTTGTCATCAAATCCAATTTACTTTATTCGAAGATTTAAAAAATAGATACAAAGAAATGAGTAAACTGTTGTATCCCGAAGAGACTTGTGAATGGTAACTTTTGAGGACTATTTATGGACCAATGTAATATGTACATTTCCTATTGTATAATTGTTAAGTAACTAAACTATTCCTATTCGTGTTCCTCTTATCCTAAGCTTTATTATGAACTATGAAATATTATTATACGATTTACCATTCTTGATTACTGTTCCCACCTATTCACAGCCACATTTGGCCAAATCTTGTACAAATATTATTTTCTATTTTATGATACAATGTGGTCTGTTTGGTTGGTATATAAACCCAGTATGTGAGTGCATGTGTGTACACTTCTTATCCTACTCATCACATGTCTGTAACCTATTTTTATCTGACTAGAAATATTAATTAACGTTTGATTAAATCGAGTTGGCTCACACGCCTTCTCCACTGCACATTATTTCTCTTCACTCACTTCTCTTCACTTCATCCTTCTGATTGTTTGTTCAAATCAATCAGTTTACAAAGTATACTCATTCAAAAATTCATTCTCGTGTTTGGCTTATTTAATTCCGTTATTCACTAACGCGATTTAAGTCGATAATAATATACGAGAATAGTCAGGATGTATATTTCAACAGCAATTATTCAATAACGATCATTTACCCGATTTAATTGTAGTCAAATATTGGACCTTACTTACTTACTTACTTACTTACGCCTGTTACTCCCAATGGAGCATAGGCCGCCGACCAGCTTTCTCCAACCCACTCTGTCCTGGGCTTCCTTTTCTAGTTCTATCCAGTTCTTGTTCATTCTTCTCATGTCTGTCTCTAATTCTCGGCGTAATGTGTTCTTTGGTCTTCCTCTTCTCCTTCGACCTTCAGGATTCCATGTGAGGGCTTGTCTTGTGACGCAATTAGCTGATTTCCTCAAGGTGTGCCCAATCCACTTCCAGCGCTTTCTCCTGATTTCTTCCTCTGCTGGAATCTGGTTTGTTCTCTCCCACAGTAACTTATTGCTGATAGTGTCTGGCCATCGGATCCGAAGTATTTTGCGTAGACAGCTGCTGATGAACACTTGTATCTTCTGGATAATGGTTTTCGTAGTTCTCCACGTCTCCGCCCCATACAGTAGGACTGTCTTGACATTTGTATTGAAAATTCTAACCTTGGTGTTGGTTGACAATTGTTTTGAGCTCCAGATGCTTTTCAGTTGTAGGTATGCTGCTCTTGCTTTGCCGATCCGTGCCCTCATATCTGCATCTGATCCACCGTGTTCATCAATGATGCTGCCCAGATATGTAAAGGTTTCCACATCCTCCAAAGCTTCTCCGTCAAGTGTAATTTGATTGGTGCATATTGTATTGTATCGGAGAGTCTTGCTTTTCTCTTTGTTTATATTGAGACCTACTGCTGCTGAGGCTGCTGCTACACTGGTCGTTTTCTCCTGCATTTGTTGTTGCGTTTGTGATAGAAGAGCCAGATCATCCGCGAAGTCTAAATCGTCAAGCTGCATCCTGCCTGTCCACTGTATCCCGTGATTTCCTCCAGTCATTGACGTCTTCATGATCCAGTCAATGACCAGGAGAAAGAGAAAGGGTGAGAGTAAGCAACCTTGCCTAACACCGGTCTTTACTTCAAACGAGTCGGTGAGTTGTCCTCCGTGGACAATTTGGCAGTTTAGTCCATCATAAAAGTTCCGTATGATATTTACTATCTTCTCAGGCACACCGTAGTGTCGAAGAAGGTTCCATAGTGTCGTCCTGTCCACGCTATCAAATGCCTTCTCGTAGTCGATGAAGTTGATGTAGAGTGATGAGTTGCATTCGATTAATTGTTCCACAATGATCCGCAGAGTTGTGATTTGATCTGTGCACGATCTATCCTTACGAAATCCAGCTTGTTGATATCGAAGTTGGGCATCTACGGAATCCTTCATCCTGTTTAACAATACTCTGTTGAAGACTTTTCCTGGTATTGAGAGAAGAGTGATGCCCCTGTAGTTGTCGCACTTGCTAAGATCACCTTTCTTTGGTATTTTGATCAGAAGTCCTTTTTTCCAGTCTGTTGGTACTTGTTCTTCGTCCCAAATCTTACTGAAGAGTATGTGGAGTATCTTGGCAGTTGCTGTTACATTTGCTTTCAGTGCCTCTGCCGGGATGTTGTCTGGTCCCGCTGCTTTGCCACTCTTGACTTGTCTAATGGCCATGCTGATCTCTTCAATTGTTGGTGGGCCAATATCGATTGGGAGGTCTGTGGGTGCTGCTTCGATGTTGGGTGGGTTCAGTGGAGCTGGTCGATTCAAGAGTTCCTTGAAGTGTTCTACCCACCTGTTTCGTTGTTCTTCAATGTCGGTGATTACTTTGCCTTCCTTGCTTTTCACTGGTCTTTCTGGCTTACGGTAATTTCCAGCAAGTTTCTTTGTTGTATCATACAGTTGTCTCATGTTTCCCTCTCTTGCAGCCTTTTCCGCTGTCGTTGCTAAATCTTCCACATATTTACGTTTGTCGGCTCTGATGCTCCTCTTCACTTGCTCGTTTGCCTCTGTGTATTCGGCTTGTGCCTTGGCTTTTTCCGCTCTGGTTCGGCTGATATTGATTGCTGCCTTCTTCTTCCTCCTTGCTTCAATCTTATCCAGTGTACCAACAGTGATCCATTCCTTGTGATGGTGCTTCTTTCGGCCCAGAACCTCTTGACACGTTGAAACGATTGCCTCCTTGATACCTTTCCAGTTGCTCTCCATGGTAGTCCCCTCTCCATTGAGTAGATCATGAAAGGCCTGGAACCTGTTGCTGAGGGCTATGTTGAACTTGTTGAGTTTGTCAGCATCTCGAAGAAAGGCCGTATTAAACTTTTGTGATGTTGTCCGCGCCATTGTCCAGTGCTTCTTGAGTTTTAGTTTCATCTTGGTGACCAGCAAATGATGATCGGATGCTATATCAGCTCCTCTTCTGGTTCTCACATCCTCCATCGTCCTCCTGAACTTTTTGTTGATGCAGATATGGTCGATTTGATTCTGTGTCGTGTGATCCGGTGAAATCCAAGTGGCTTTGTATATGTTTTTGTGTGGGAATATGGTGCCACCTATGACCAGTTTATTGAAGGCACATAGGTTTGCAAATCTCTCAACATTTTCGTTCCTTCCTCCCAGTCCATGTTGTCCCATGACGTCTTCGTATCCAGTGTTGTCCTTTCCATCATTAGCATTGAAATCTCCCATCGGAATGGTCAGGTCCTTGGTTGGGCACTTCTCGACGATCGACTGCAGCCTATCGTAGAATTGGTCTTTAGCGTCTTCATCGTAGTCATTGGTAGGCGCATAGCATTGGATGACGTTCATTGTAATGCCCTCTCTCTTTGATCTGAAGGAGGCTTTGATGGTCCTTGGTCCATGAAATTCCCATCCTTTAGGTGCATTTTGTGATTATTTGGACAGCATCAATGCAACTCATTGTGTATTTGAGGCATTTTCTTCTTCATGACCGGAGTATAACAGAAGTTCTCCTGAAGACAGTCGTTGTTGTCCAACCTGCGTCCAATGTGTTTCGCTGATTCCAAGAACCTCCAGGTTGTATTTTCTCATTTCTGCAGCAATTTGGAAAACTCCTCCGGTCTCCCACATTGTTCGGACATTCCATGTACCTATAAAAATTGTCGCTCTGGTTGTTAGAAGGTGCATCGGCCTCATGACTTTCGAAGGAGCTCGGCTTTCATCATGAGACGTCATAATTATTCCTTCTACTCCCAGGGCAGAGTTTGAAAGGTTTGAATGATTTTTTCTGGTTAGCGTTTTTTTAGCGAGCTGATTTTCTACGGGATGGGGTCGCTAACCCCATGCCCAACCCTCCTCCTTTACCCGGACTTGGGACCGGCAGTAACCCCCAGAGGAGCTACAGGCGGAGTTCAAATATTGGACCACTAATGAATTATTAAACTGTTTGAAATCTCGTTTGATGTGTATGAATTTATTTGACAAAAAACACACATACACACAATAAGTTATATACGAATAGACTTACTCTTCTCCAAAACTTATTATCGAGATTTTCCATTATAAGTTTCAATGCACGTTTAGCATTGAATGCTGCAACATCCTATGAACAAATATATATTAATTTACAATCAACATGATGTATAATTAGTACTTACAGAATATATATCTTCCATACTTGTAATCCCAGCTAAATAATGCAAACAGTCTTTATTAGTTTCAACTCGTTCCTATAATGGAAAAAGTAATTTATACTATATGGCTTTAAATATAAATGCTTACTGTTATATAACTGATTTGATTCAAAATATCATGATTCTAAAAATTAAAAATGGATTAATGTCAAAAATGTGTTTTTATATTATATCATACCGAACTGGTTACACTTTCTCTGATCCATTTTGATGATCCTTCAATTGTTTGTTGTCTAACCATTTCATCTTCCAAACTTTGATGGGTATAACCAAAATTCGGTGTTTCACATGCATTCTATGTAATACAAAGAAAAACAACAACAACAAGAAATTGTGAAACATGCAAAATGTATTAGAAAGGGTTAGAACTAAAGTCTATTACATTTAATAATTTTTGACTTGAAATCATTATTATTAATTCTATACAGCATTCAGGTATTGACGTTAAGATAGATGTAATATGTGGAACGTGATGTACTTCAAAATATCCTAGAAATATTTTATGGTAGAACTGTTTAACCTAACCACCTTAAGTTATAAACTAACTGACATGACTCAAAACTGATCACCTCGAATTGGCTAGAGTGAAAAACTTAGTTACACGTGACCTATTTAACATGACAAAATTATCCTAAAATCTGAAACATATCTTGATTATAAGTAAGGAATCAGAACTTACTATTTTTTTCTTACTAGTTTAGAACAGCCGTGCATATCCATAATCACATACGTGATCACGCCTACAACCCACAGGCCTTACGATGTGAATTATAGCAAATAGACTATAGACAATTAGACAGGTATCAGTAAGACACTTTTATCCTTACTATCCTTATCTGTAACGCTTGAATGGGCTTGTCCTAGCTTTTGGACAGATAAATCATTCTAGTCCTAATTGTTTGCTTTGTATATCCTTGCCATTATCAGCTATTTCCCTTGGTTGTTTTAATACATCCATGGGGTACGAATGTCTACCTATCTACCTGGTTGTCTTTTTACATTAGTTATAAAAACACTGATTCACACTCATAGTGAGTACGTCTATCACCTTGCTTGTTGTATGTCTGCATAAATGAATGTCTGAAATAAATGCATTTAAAACACATTTCGTATTCGACTTCTATTACCTGTACTGTGTGAGATGATCGATCGATAAACCTTATGGGGGATTATATAGAATCCATCCTACATCGGGTTCATTTATCATCATCGTCATCACTCATTTGGAGTTAGTGAGATACTACGAAAATAGATTCTGTAAAACAGAAATCCTCCTCTGATTTCATTAATGAATTACTGTCTTACTCTTGATTTTTTTTATTGTATCGATAGAATGGCTTCTTATAGGTGGTTTGACAGATCCGTGTTGAAGATAATATCAGGGATCTACAATTGACCTATTTACCAGAATCTTGCCATATAATCAATTTAGCAGATTTAATAATAATGAACTTGTACTAAGTCAGCAACAAGTAAGTTTATGTTACTAGAATACCTCCATTTCATAGTTTCCATACCATTTGAAGAGTACGAAGATACTAAAAGAAATCAAACACTCGTTTTGTATTATATTAGGGAACGGTTACACGACATGCATCTATGAAAACTTATAAGATTGGTTCTAAGAGATTGGGTTTTCATAATTTGTAAACATTTGTTAACCTAATGCAATCAAACACGTTGGGAGTGAACAAATGTACGGGTATACCAACAAGAGGAAGTTCGTTCATAAATATAGTTACTAAAAAATGTTCTAAGTGATATTCATTCAGTTCAGGTAGTTACTTATTTACATTGATAAGTTTCGTCTTGTTTTCATTCAGTAAATCAATCCAATTACTTAAAATCGTAACAAACAAGTTATTTTGATAAATATTCACCCTAATCTCCATATCCATGTAGATCACTAATAGTAGTGTCTACTAGTCCAGTAAAATACTTATCAGAAGTATGATAACTTCGAAAGAAATTTTTATGGATTGCAGTAATGTCAGGATAAAGTACTATTGTGGTGCGGTCTACTTATATCCATGTAAGTAGTATATGTTGATGGTCAGATATAGAATGTATTTTGACGGATCGGTAAGAAAAGAACAGAAATGAAGCGCAGTCGGTACGAAAATGCATGAACAATGAAATCAGAGAAGATGGACTAAGATTTGCAGAAGGAACAGTAAAGATTGAGACAATTGATTGTTATTTTACAAATTAACTATTTACTGTATGGTTATCAGAATTTAGTGAGATAGTCTGTAATTTGTGCTTAAATACATTCGATTATCCCCACTTGTGTTTTGTTTACTACATTATCTACCAAAGAACGTTTAAAAAGTAAAGTAAACAAAGTATCTATTTCATTTTGACTTGGAGCACCTGCATTAGGACACAATGATAGATGGACTAGAACTAAAGACCTTAAGATCTTACATGTTAGTTAACAGTGATTTCGTTTGACTACAACAGTTTCCATCTTTATTGTTTTAATAATAACTCATTTCAGTAATTGAAATCATTTTCTTTCATACTAACTAGTTACCGTGTTTCAACTAAAAAAAAAACTTTTTTTGTAATTTCTAAACTTATGATTCCACAAATCTTTCTACCATACAAATTTATATATTTTCAACAATTTACAACAACCAGTATTAGATAACTTTGATTTAAAGTACACAACACTTTGTACTTCATCCTATTTGACATCTTATCATTAATTTAACAGATAGAATTTCAAAAGAGAAATCAACTATAATTATAACTGTCTTATAAGTCGTCTGTTCTATTCACATATGCATAGCAACTCATACACAATACACAACCATTTATTCATTGATTAATAAATCAATAAATTTATTATAATTATGATGAAATATGATAGCTGTGCCAAATAAAAATTTTCTTTTTTTTCTTTTTTTTTTTTAATGTTTCACCACACACACACAAATATCTACACCTACTATTATAAATAGATATACAATCATAAAATATTCAATAGACAATAGTCTTATTGTATAATACGAATTTTTTTAAAAAGAAAACATAAATAATACTTTGTTAATCTATTAATAAGTAATAAGTAGTATATTAGTAGTACAAGTTATTATATGAACAAAATAAAAAAGATCTAACTAATGATTAATAATTTATTACTTTTATAACTAACTATGCATAAAAACGTTACTATATGTTATATATATAATCATATAGTTCTTATAAGGTTCATTTTAATCTTTATGTTAGTTTAAAAGTATGTGTGGGTATTAGTTTAAAAGAGAAAAATATTGTCAATGGAATTGAGTTTGTGTTTAATTAGAAGTTGATGTACTTCTTCAGTTGGTATATATATATAGAGAGAGAGATAGTAGTGTATGTTAGTAAGTTACTAAAGTAACATAAAAATTCCAAAGTGTATTTCAATGTTCATAGTGATTTATGGATAAGATAGGTTGATATACATAAATATATATATGAGCTGATCGTGTGTATGTATATCGTTCTAACGTTTAACTCTAACATTTTATATAATAAGAAATATTCGAATTGTTATTATAATGACAGCAATAAGAATAATAATATAATGGTAATTATCAATGTGAAACTCTGTTTGTAGCCCCTTCAGAGCCTACTGCCGTTCTCAGGCCCGGATAAAAGAGTAGGGTTGGGTATGGGGTTAGCAACCGCATCCCGCGGAAAACTAACTAGCTAAAAATACTCTAATGACGCTATCAATGTGAAGTTATTTTCATTCTGATCAAGTATACTTTTGTAAAATAAAGGGAAATTATTCTTTCTTATGAAAAACTCACTTAGTTTAAAGGAATTTTGAGTCAGTTTTTAGTTATTTGGTCAAGTAAAACTGATTTTTTTTCTTTATATTTTTAAAAATAGAAATAAACAATTCATACAACTTAATCTTAATGATAAATTAAAACAAACAAAAAAAAATTCATTGATCATGTTCTATTTAAGAAGAAAGAATTTGAAACATTCATTGACTGATTGGAATATAGAGTATGAAATGTGTTTTCTTATTTAAAGATTCTTAAAGGGTTAATGGAATGAATAAATAGCATGCCAATTCTTCTATGTAGTCTCTAGATTTGAGTTATTCAACCAAAATTAGCTATATATTATACGTCATTAAATTATATCATAGTTTTAGCTGAGTGGATAATGTTTGAAGCGAAAGATATTGGGTTCGAGTCCCAGAGTAAACATCAACTCTGAGATGCCGGTACATCCAGCTGATGAGTCCCAAATGGGATGAAACGCGTGTCAAACAGGATTCCATTAATAGCCACTATCCATCTTTGCTTACAATGCTTGCGAATTAAGACTATATCGAAGCAATATGCACAGTATGCACATATGTCAATTATAGACTGACCAGTTGCAGACCTAATCACCAATGTTAAGATTCAAACAAAAATTACTAGGTGAACACAAATTTAATTGCTAATAACATTCAAATAATTTGATTTGTTCTACGTAAGTCTGTTTAGATTTGAGTCATTATATCTGATGCAATTTGAAACTGTAATATACTTCGCTAAATAACATCATGTTAATTAATTGAATAATGAGTTACAATACTCTCTTATCAATGAACAGTTAATATTACTCAAATGAAAGTACATTCTATCGACGACCATATGTTCCACTGACTCAGTAGATTTTCAATAATATGATGTACATTGAAATTAAAGTTTTAGGATACAATAAAGAGTTTATCACGCTTTTTCACCAAAATAAGAATCTGAGTATTTCAGTTTTAAAAGTTTCTCATCCATGTCAAGTACAAATAGAAATTAATGTAAGTTACTTCAGTTATTAACGTGATGTAATAGTTAAATGAATAGTTATTTAACTTCAATAATCATCGAGTTAGGAAAAACAATATAGATGAATCAAAGCCAATGAGTTTTGATTAACTTTTAATAATTTTACGTCATGTAAATTTCAACTGTTGAGCTACTGTTTAATAACGTTATCAATACCTCATTTTCTGATACATATTTTCTTATAAAAAACCCATCGTATGACCCTTGATTTGATCCGTGCATGATTAATTTAAAGTATCTGTTCAAAGTTCAAAGTGTAAAACATGAATCATTGAGAAATGATTTACTTGAAACAAAGTAAATATATATTTATCAGAAAGAGGTTTCGTGAATATTATAGTAATTTGATAGTTGAGTTCATAAATCAATTGAAGCTAGACCACCATGCAAAACCTGCAAGCACTGAACAGTCGTTTCGAACTAATATGAGACTCCTTATCAGTGCTTGTCCATGATC